GAATGTTCCGAAACGGCTTTTGTCTTAAGTCTCGACATCAAGACCCGACCTTTTCTTTGGAGATTTTGACCATGTCCTATGGTCGCGAACCCTCTCCAAGGTTCAGCCCTCTTCCAGGCAACACCCTTCTTCCAGGGCCCCTCTTCCAGGTTTTAAGTCTTTTAATGTGCCATTCTCTAATTATTAGGTTGACCTAGCCAACCTAATCTTCCCACATGGGGGTATGCCGGTGAGAACCAGCCCTCATCCAATCCTGCACGTCCATATATTATGTGTTCGGAAATTCTAGTCTTCCCTAGACATTCCGATCCACAAAGGATGGCTCATACAAGACGGTAATATTTTTTTGGCATCTTTTCTAACCCTTCCCGACCAAAAAGTCGGTAGGGATCCATGTAAGTATGGATGCGAATCCTCTTCCGGATCCAGCCTGTCTCAAGGCGATACCTCAACATCAAGGCCCCTATCTCAAGGGTTTCTTTTTCTTTTTTTCTTTTTTCTATCAGCCCATGCAACGGTCCAAGTCCTAGACATCAAGACTTATCCGTCTAAAGGAAGCTCAGTAATCTTGACCACATTTTGTCCATCCTCTTTGATTTCCCTAATCCTATTCATGTGGGCGGATTCAAGTACTCGCCTATGGGTCTTTTTCCAAGCCCTGTAACGAGTACTTCATCCAATTCCCCTCTCAAGATCATCTCTTTGAGCACAGCCCTGACGTTTCGGCAGTCCGCCGTGTTATGGGAGTCAGATTGGTGGTAGGTACACCACTTCTCCGTCCATGGCCTCTTGGGTTGCTCTCCCTTCTTATCATCCCTTATTTGATGGACAGATCCGTCATACGTGGCCTTTGGCTTGGACCCTCCCATCTGGTAGTCCTTCTTCGGCTTGTCGGATTTCACCTTTGTGTAGCCTTCCTCCCGCTCCCGCTTGCTCTTGTTCAGGACCTCCACCTCGGCGTATTCCCATGCTGTGTTGTAGGCTTCCTGATAAGAAGATGGTGGCCTCCTACAGAATTCGGTGTAGAGGTCACCCGTTCGGAAGGCATTCATCAGCAAAGACATGGCCGTCTTGTCGTCCATCTCTTCCACCTTATCGACCTCGTCCCTCCAGCGGGTCAAGAATTGAGTTAAGAACTCCTTCTCCCTCTGCCCTACCGTGTTAAGGTAGGTGAACTTCTTCCTCTTGATGCAGTTGTCCTGGTACTTCTTGCGAAAAACTTCGGCAAGTTTCTCAAAGGACCCAATCCTACCATGGGGAAGGCCGTTAAACCATTCCACTGGTCTCCCTCTCAAGGATGAGAAGAAGAGCAAGCATTCCTCAGCATCAGTGCACCCGACCATCTGTGGTGCATTTTGGAAGGTGTCAAGATGGACATTTGGATCCTCCTTTCCAGTGAATTTCTCCATGTCCAGCTTGACCTTCTGTCTCAATTTTTGGGCATGTACCCTGGCTGAAAAGGGTGATTTGGCCAGGGTATGCTTCTTTGCTCCCGCTTTCTCTTCCACTTTTTCCTCCAGGGCATGTAGCTTTCTTGCTACGCTTCCTATCTTATTCAGGTCATCCTCATCATATGAGAGCCTGGTATATGCCGATGCCCTGGGCTGGCTTTCAGCTTCCTCCTCGTCTAGGTGAATCGTCTCAGATTCCCTAGAACGACGAGATGGGGCGGGACGACTCCCACCAAGCCTTTCCATTGCGCTAGTCCAGCCCATCTCAGGACCAAGACGTAGCTTGGCAGACTTGCGGGGTCCATCCTCTTTGTCCCCTAGGTGTTTGAACGCCGAATCTCGAGTTTTGCTGGGCTTGGCTATAGCCTTACCCTTCCTTCTGCGGGCAACCTCTTGCTCCGCCTCGTCCACCTCGTGAACATTTGAGGGTGCTGCCTCGTTCATGATCCCTGTCAAATTCACCAGACGCATAGGGACCATCCTTGGAACGAATGTTGATGGAGTCGACACCGGGGGTGGCGTAATTGGTGGCGTCATGCCAGGATAGGCAAATGGCATGAAGCCCCCTGCCTGTTGCATCATGGCCATCACCTGTTGATAGCCCTGTAGAGCCTGTGCATTTGCCGGGTCAGCAGCAAATTGAGCCCATGCTGATGGGTATGGCGTGAAAGCTCCCCCAGGCGTTGTTATTGGGCCGGAAAACATCGTCGTCGCTGGAGTAGGAGTAGGGGTTGACATGATTGGGATCATGCCAACTGATCCTACCGTGGTGATCGGGGCAAAGGTCGTCCCCATGCCTGGCATCATCAATGGGATGGCAGGAGTGCTTTCACTCGCAGCCCGGCTTGACACAGTGTTGTGGTTGCTTGAAGACATGATTGTGGATATTTAGTGGGGTTAAAGTTTTGACCTGGTCGAAAAAACTTTAAAAATCGGCCCCACGGTGGGCGCCAAAAATGATGGTGTAAATATAGCTGGGTGGGTCGACCGGATTTGACCTGAACACTCGACCCGTAATATAAAACACACAACAAGAACACAAAGTATGACCTAGACCGGGTAAATCTCCTCAGTCCAAATTATATTTCTTACTCTGTCTCAAGAGTGTACTATTTTTAGTGAGAGAAAGAATTGATCCCCTCCTCTATCAAATATCATCATATTTATAGTGGAGGATTTGTAACCTTCCCCTGTTCATCCATGGACAAAATAGGAAGCTCGTGGGAAGGTCACTATAGATAATGGAAGCACTGTACAATCATGGACTTGTTACTAATACAACCAAAAAGCACTGTTCGATCAAAGACTAAAATGGATATTCTCAATTCAATCAACCCTGCAAAATGACAAACATCCCTTTCACTGTGTGCCTCGTGATGGATGAGCGGCGGGGTGTCCCCTCGACCTCTGACGTGGTTCACCATGCCTAAGAGACTGGACCAATGTTAGCCAAGTAAAGTGATATGACTGGTCACCTTCTCTCAAAGGTTACCTGGTCATTTCTTGCGCTCAACCCGTCTTTTTGGTCTTCCGGAATATCCTTCGTAGCATAAGGTGATACTTTGGCTATCGCCCAAAATGTGACCGGTCACTTTTTTAGTGGAAGTGACCGGTCAACTTTTGACCCGTCCCAATCGAAGAGTTAACCTCATTTGGTGATTGATAAAAGTGACCGGTCATACTTTGACTTGTCCCTTTCGATTGTCCGGGTCGGGTATAGGGATATACCCATCACCTAAAATAATCACACTTTTTATTTATTTGTGAAAAAAGAGAATTTTTTTCTTCTTCTACTTTAATTTATCTCATATCAAACCAATACGTCTTTCCCAAATTTAAACTACCACCCTTTCCTTTTCAAAAAAAAAACCCACCTTTTTTCCTTTATACTCCAGACTTAATACCCAAACTTAAACCATCGGCCATTCCGGCCAATGCACCTTTCCCAGGAAAGTTGTACCCATTTTTATTTAATTATTTTAAAAGTTCTTGCCCATTTATGTAGTGGAGGAGGGAGTGAGGGACAAATGGGATACACCTTTGGTGTACCTCTAGCATTTTTCAAAATTATGAGTATGATTTATGAGTAGAACTATGCTAGGTTACACCAAAAGTTACCCTAATTTGTACTCCAAATTAATATACCAATATTTTAACAGTTCACACGGACAGAAAATATTGGTTCAATTTAAAAATTTACATTGATATTTTTTGTCAATGTAAATCATCACACTAACATCATACTAGCACATAATGTCGATGCATGCGTTTGAGGTCTAAAGTGGAGTACAAATTTTGGTCTACAAATAGCTTGATCTTTATGAAAATGATTTATGTTTGGACTTTTTATAAACTTTATGTTTGGACTTTTTATAAACTAAAAATACAATATGGGATTTTATGGGACATCAAAACAAGATTTCTTGAGTTGTAAGAGGATCACCCCAACAAGTAGCTCTTCTTTATTAAATCAAAACTCCATAAATAAAAAGAAAAATTACTCAAAATAATCCCAACTTTACCCGTTTTTCAAAAATAATCCCACCTTTCACTGTGATGCATAATAATCCCAACTTTACTAAAATTTGCCAATTTTGGGTCGCCGTTAAGTTTCTAACGGAGGGTTAACGGAAATGCCCGTTTTAGGCAACAAAATGAAAGTTGGGATTATTTTTGATGAATTTTCGTTTTTTTTTATTTTTTTTTTAAATTTTTCATTTTAATTTTTTAAATTACTTTCTACCTCCATCATCATTTCTTTTTCCTTTTTTAAAGATTAGTCTTAGTTTAAAAAATAAAAATAATAGATATAAAAAATGAAAAAATGAAAAATGTAACTAAAATGATACAAAAATAATAAAATAAATAAGGTAATCAATGGAAACTAACTTGAAGTTGGTAAAATTAAAGTAAAATAAAAATATACGGGTGGGTTTTAATATTTTACGCATTATACAAATTATTAACATATCACTTCTTATTTTTTAGAAAAATTATGTACAACAATTCCAACTTTACCGGACGGTTTGTTCTTTTAAAAAAATAAGTAGTGCATTAAGACTCCGTATAGTGAGTAAAATGTTAAAACCCACCACTCCGTATATATTTATTTTATTTCTTATCAGTTTCTGTTGAATTTCTATTGATTACATTATTTATTTGATTAATTTTGTATGGTTTTAGTTATTTTTCTTATTTTCATTATTTTTGATATCTATTTTTTTCTAAGGTAAGAATAATATTTAAAAAAGAAAAAGAAATGGAGGTTGAAAGTAATTTAAAAAATTTAAATAAAAATTTCAAAAAAAATTCAAAAACAAAAATTCATCAAAAATAATCCCAACTTTCATTTTGTTGCCTAAAACGAGCATTTCCGTTAAACCCCCGTTAGAAATTTAACGGCGACCCAAAATTGGCAAATTTCAATAAAGTTGGGATTATTATGCATCACAGTGAAAGGTGGGATTATTTTTGAAAGACCGGGTAAAGTTGGATTATTTTGGGTAATTTTTCCTAAATAAAAATTGTCTACCATCTCCGTCATTAAGAGCATGAACAATGGCAAGTAAAAAAAAGAATGCCACACGCTGACATGGCATAAATCAACCAATAAAAAATGGTCCAGTCACAGAGTGGCAAGTGAATAGAGTGGCACACCCTACAGTGGCAAGTCGTTATTTTTGTCACTTTTTAAAATTTTTGTAATTTATTTTAATTATTAAAAATAATTTTTGCTACTTGTTTCATTAAAAAAATACTTCTACTTCCTTAAAAAAAGAGTATTTTTTTCTCAAAAAAAAAAATAAAAAAATAAAAATAAAAAAAGAAAAAAAGAAAAATAGGTGTGGGGTGCCTTGAAGATGGCTTGCTCTCCGTGGTGGAATGGCTTGCCTCTCCATGCTAAGCATGGCAAATCATTTTTGGGAGCTGATGTGGCAAGCGTGGCAGGCACTTGCCTCGCCCGCTGCCCATGCTCTAAACTTATGCATGCTTTGATTTCATATAGAAATGTGTCATTTACAATTTTTGTATTTCTTTTTTATCCATACTTTATTTTAAAAAAAGGGAAAGTCTAACCATGGTAGAGCTTAATTTGGTATCTGTGCAGTTAAAATGGTAACTACGGAGTATTAAATTACACTGGACACAGTGTTGGGGCTTAGTAATTAACGTAAGAATTAAATTCATAGGATTAAAACCGTAAGAGCATGCGCAGCCGCGAGGCATTTCCTCGCTCGCTGCGCCACATCAGCTCATTTGGAAAAATTGCCTCGTGTGGCTTAGCCTTCCTCCACGCCAAGCGTGTGAGGCGCGAGGCAGTCCAGGTTTTTTTTTTGTTTGTTTTTTTTGTAGAAGAAATAAATTTTTTAAAAAAGAGTACATCTATTTAAAAAAAAGATAAACGAAATAATTTTTAATAATTAAAATGCATTAAAAAATCATAAAAATTGACAAAAACAGTTACTTGCCACTGCACGAGATGCAGTGGCGGATCCATAGCTTAATAATTGGGGGCAATGGCCCCCTACTAGTTTTAAGTTTTTGTTTATCATGTGTATTGTGATACTTTAATTTTTTAATTTTTTTAGAGTTATGTAATATATGATCCCAACTAAAAATATTAGAAACCCTAATAAAAAGTATTAGAGGCCTCAATTAATAGTATTAAGTAAGAAAAAACTGAGAGAAATCAAATATTTAGATATTAAAAAAATATAATTTTAAAGTGAAATACTTTAAAATGCAAAGATAAATTCTAAAGTAGTACACTAAAAATATACAGAGTGATAATTAAACTAATTTATAATATTGGCATTAATTTTTTTTTATTTTTTTACTATTTGAATAACTATTTAAGGGTAAGTTCATTTTTTTTAAAGTCTCGCATTGCATGTATAAAAAAAATTTGGGAAGCTGTCCAAGAACACTCGAAAGGTGACCCCTCTATTTAATATCATGGATCCGCCACTGACGAGATGTCACTCCACTCACTTGCCACACGCTGATTGGACTGTCTTTTATTGGTTGAAATGTGCCACGTCAACGTGTGGCATTCCATTTTGTTACTTACCATTGCCCGTGCTCTAAGAGCATAACAATTTTCTTTTTCCCATACAAATATGTTTTTAAGTACCGTAATTATTAAATACGTGCAATTAAATTCGTACAATTAGCATAAAAATTTCCTTTTTCCCAATCAAATCGTACCATTCAATTAAATTCGAACAATTAACATAAAAATTTTCTTTTTCAATTCCGTGCTAATGATAAGCAGTGAATTAATTGATAAGTAATAATAATTGGTAAGTAATAAATCAATAACTAATTTAATTGTATTGTGCTATGTGTTTTAGGATTTCGTGTTTTGTTCATAAATTAAATTGGAATGTAAAAAAATTTCATAAGTAAGAGTAAAATGCTCTTTTCCATATAATAAAATTGAGAAATAATATAACATACTTTAAAACACATCTACTTACCAAAATAGGATCATATGTCTTTAAAGATCAAAATAGAAGTGTAATGGCAGTATAGTATAACAATAAGTATTGGCAGTGTCATAGAAAATTGATAACAATGTAATATGTCAATGTTATCCGTCAATCATTGGCAATCCGTAGAGGCCCTCGGATGCCGAGCGGTGACAAATGACAGTGTGACGGTGGTAGTGTAACAGTTATAACATGACAACATGGTGAGTGATCAGGTAGTGTAAAATTTAATATTTACAATTAAATGTAGGACCTTATACGCTACCAACTCTTCTAAAACCAATTGGTGTTAGAAGAGGCGCATACCTTAGCTTTATAGTGCATTCAGCACACAAGCGCCCACGACATTCGATTGTGACTTGGCCCACATAGCCTCCGCCACGGAACAATTGCTGTACACATGGCCAACATTAAATTCGTACATAAAATTTAATATTTACAATTCAATTCGTACAATTGGCATAAAAAATTCCTTTTCCCATTAAAATTGTACCGTGCAATTAAATTCGTACAATTAACATAAAAATTTCCTTTTCGATTCCGTACTATGATCATGCTATCTTCAACTTATTTTTTTACTTATTACTTGTTCTTATTAGAATCAGATTAGAAATAGTTTTAAATATAACTACATTCAGATTATATCA